CATGGTGAGGGGGGAAGGGGCGGGCGCTAAGCACTAACCATTCCCAACGTTGCTAAGGGCGGGCGAGTGTGTCTCGGCACGCTATAATCCGACTTCGAAGGATCGATGAACTTCGTCGCACTCTCGGTATATGTACGCTTGTAACTAGTATTTGGGAAATTAGAAAACAGCACTGGAAAAAAAAAAAAAACACATTGGATCTAGAGTCCAGATTCTTGAAAACATTGACAAGAAAAAATACTCTTGATTCAATCAGATTTTTGCTTAAATGAAAAGGAAATCCGCTCAAATTATGAGGCTTGGTTCTCGATTTAAGCAAAAATCCGATTGAATCGAGAGTATTTTTTCTTGTCGATATTTTTATGAGTCTGGACTCTAGATCCAATGTGTTTTTTTCCAGTGCAGAGTGACAAGCACATGAAAAGTTAGGGAACCTCGCTTAACCCTGGAAAGTCATGAATTTTTCCCAATCCTGAAAAATGGAATAATTTTGGTGCCGAACTTGAAATTTTTTCCTTCTAGCCAAAACAATGTAATTTTTCCAGTGCAAGAGACGTCGTGCTTTATTTTAAAACTACGTACGCGCCATTAGTTTCCCAATGCAAATGAGTGTTTCTACGGATGAGCCAGAAGTTCTAGTTTCTGACTGGAATAACTGACGTTCAAGTGAACTACATTTTACAATTTGGAACGACAATTTCTGGCTCAGTTTAGGGACAACCTATGCACCATTGTTTCCTTATACTTGTTTCTATCGATAAACTAGAAATTGTAGTTCCTGGTTGCTAAATGAATTCCAAATCATATTCACTGATTTCCAGTCTCTGTCTACCTAAAGCGAATTTTCGCGATCGAATATCATTCATCAAACGAATTGATGAACGTTGAGTGATGCCGATGATAGGTGAAAGCAGGAGCCAATCAGAGTTCAGATTTTTTTTTAAAAATCAAATTCAGAAAGAAATACGAAAATACGAAACACTAAAACTCAGCATTGCAAACACAGCACACTTGAAATGACAAAACACAACAACAGAGAGAAATGACGAAACGAAAATTCTGGTGAAAAATGAAGTTTCTGACAAGGATTGCATCAAATCAAAAATCGAATTCAAGTCCTCATGGCCTGGTTACACGATTAAAGTCCCATCAAATTCCGACCAAATGGTGACTGGTGCGCACCATCTATCATCAAACTGCGGCCTGCAAAAATTTAATGGTAGATGATGGAGCTGTGGGGCTTATCCTTCATCTGATTTTCACACAACCGTGCTTATTTCATGCTTATTTCAATCAACACGCTGTTTTTATTAATGGAGAATTTGCAAGGGTCTGAAATTTGATGAATTTCCTGTTTAAGTGGAATCCTCTGAGTGAACTGAACATGTGTTTAAATGGGAAATGCCGCCA